GTTTCCCGTTGTCATTTCCAGGAAGCTAACCAGATTGGGGAACGTCCCTGTTGGTACGCCAAAGCCGCGACCCCGACTACTTATTGCAGTCCTCTCAACACCGGAGGAACGCAAAGCGTCACTGCGCTTTGCAGTCAACCTCAAGGGTAGTAATGTCAGCGTGCAGCCGGGCCTCGAACTGGCAGACCTACTGAAGGTAAAAGAAGCCATCAAAAGCCTCAAGCGCAGGAGAGCGGGTGGTGAGCAAGACCTTCGTCTGTTGGGTTTTCAGGCGGTCAGCCGGAAGACAGCTTCTGTTCTACCAGAACCTCACCTGGTAGCATACGACCAAGGGCCGGTCGTGGCGACTTGCTTCTGGTAGTGCTTAGGAGTGTGCGTAACCTAAGGATCAAGGTACACGAGGTGGGTCTACTTGTAGACAAATCTCGTCCCGACATACTTGCTATCACCGAAACGTGGCTATCCCCGGGTATCACAGACGGTGAAGTTTGTTCTCCTGGCTACGCACGGCTTAGATGTGATCGCCCCGTTGGCCGCCAAGGTGGAGGCGCGCTCTTTATGTGAGTTGTAAGCTTGATGAGTTGAGGACCTGTATGTTCCAGACGCCGGAACAAACTGTTGAAGCCCTGTCGACTATTACGTACACTTCCACTGCTCAGTTTACAGTTGTAGTGGTTTAGCGAAATCCTGGAGTATCTCCAGGTAGGTTATTGCTTTATTCGTACCCAGGCTACCAACAGGTGTCTACTACTGGGTGACTTCCACCTCCCTGAAGTCTGCTGGGCTGATTTCTCTTGCAGTTCGGCCGTGCGCACTTTCGGTTCGGATCCCCTCGAGCTAACATTGTAATGGCCTTTGCATCAATTCGTAGACCTACCGACTAGATACATGCGCAACTAAATTCCGTTTACCTTGGATCTCATTTTTGCGAAGTCACACGATTTAGTAAGTGATATTACATACGACTGTCATTTAGGAGGCAATGAGCACGTCTGCATATCCTTTCGATGTGCTCAAACTAAGGGTCCTCAAGCTACTGCTGCGGCATGTCTAAATATTTGACGGGCTGACTTTAACGCAACGCGAGACAAAGCATCAGTCCTGCGCCGTGCGAACAAAGTGGCTGACGCCATTGAGACAGCCTGGGAGAAAGCTAAGGCGTACCTCATCGAGACCTTTGCTCTCCGCATCCAATTCATTAGGAGACGGGTGACAAGAGCGCAGCCTCCTTGGATAGCTCATACAGGGAAATATCTTCTCAGAAAGCGCTCTAAGTGCTGGCGCATTTACCAAGCGGCTTCATCAATCACACCTACGAAAGCTATCGAGCGGTTAGAGATAAATGTTAGCAACATCTTAAACTCTTTGTCCGCAGTATGAGAAGGATTTGGCTGACTCAGCCGCAACAACTCCAAGGTACTTTGCTTACGCAAAGAGACGCATCGGTACAAACTCTTCTAAACCGGCTTTACTAGGAGCGAACAGGATCATTATGCATACCGACTATGATAATGTTTGTATACTTAGCGAACTATATACCAGTGGCTCTTCTCACGAGGCCTATCTACCTCAGGTTGAGCTGGTTACAAAGTTCCAGAGGATTCTTGCCTAACCGAAATCAGCATAACGGAGACACAAGTCTTCGGGTTATTGCAAGAGCTAAATCCTTTCAACGCTTCTGGCCCTGATGCAACCCATCCGAAGCTGCTGCATGAATCGGCCGCTAAGATGAATGGTCCTCTGACATGCATGTTTACAATATCACTGGACAGCTGTGCCTTCGGAATGGAAGGAGACAACCATCTGTCCGATATTTAAGGGCGGTGACAGTGCTCTGTCGGCAAATGCCGGTCTTTCAACTTAACAAGCGTAGTAGGTAAGTTGTTTGAAAGATTGGTCAGGGATTCGGTGGAGAATCGCCTGATTAATTTAACCATCTCAGAGCAGCAGAGCACGGAGTCCGTAAGGGATTTTCATGTCTGACAAATTTACTCGTAGCTCGTGAAAGCTGGGCTGAGGCAGTAGACAACGGTCACGCTATCGATGTGCCATTCGTCGACTTCTCGAAGGCATTTGCTAGCGTCCCACATCAAATACTATCTTTGAAGTTGCGATCGCATGGGATATCTGGGGCCGCCCTTAGATGGACATCTGCTTCCCTAGAGGGGAGAGAAGCGCGTGTAAGCTGGCGCTTAGCCTTTCATTTAGACAAGCTGTTCTTAGTTGCATTCCGAAGGACTCGGTCCCAGAGTCCTTGCTTTTCGCAATTTATATCAATGACCTACCTCAGGAGCTTGAAGTACCGTCGCTATTGTTTGCTGAAGACCTCAAGCTCTGGAATATTGTGGATATCCCTGGTGGCTCTAAAGCACTGTAGAGTACCCTAGATAGGACCTGGGATTGGCCAAACTTATGGTAGATGCCTATACAACAGGCGAAATGTTCTGTCCTCAGCACTGGAGGTGCTATCCTCCCACTCTCTATATGTTTGGTGGAAGTGGACTCCCTGTTGGCGCTCAGCAGGTTAATCTGGGTATCACTACCTCATTGCTCCACTCTGGAGACAACTGGAGGAATGCTGCTTATAGAGGGTTCCGTATGACGTGGTTTATTCGCCGCTCCTTTGGTGTCTTAACGGCCAATATTTTTGAGAAGCTTTTTACAGCTTTTTCGCCACCCCACTTAGAATACAGTAACCAGGCTTGTCCACCTTGTCTTGTAAGGGAGAAAATAGAACTGGAGCGTTTTTTACGAGTGGGTACAATGTTAGTGTAAGGATTACGGGGGCAAACGTATCCCAAACGTTTGCTTAGCTTGGGTATGTACTCAATGCACTACCGCAGAATTAGTGGAGACTTGGTCCTCACTTACCGTATCTTAACGGGTAAGATTGGTCAAGACTTGTCCTGGCTATTTAGTCCCGTCAAGCTGCCTAGTCTCCGAGGTCCCACGTTGAAGTTGAACGAACTGCTTTCTGACAGGGTAAGGACGGAAATTCGCTTGTCGCGTCGAGTCCTTGAATGTTAGAACTCGCTTCCGGCGCATGTCGTTAGGGAGTCTAGGGTAGAGGGTTTCGAGCTTCAGTAAGATGCAATTGGGCGGCAGTACCTAACCTACCCGTTCGCATACCCGATCTGTAACTTCAACTTAACCTTCTTTGTTTAAAGTTCTTTTCACACCTTGGTATTATCATTATTTAGCTGACATACCTCCTCTTGTTTTCTTAGCTTACCCATCACTCTTTTACTTCACCTAACCCGGCCTGGCAGGGACTGCTGGGCAGGAAAATGTGGGCAGTAATTCGTTGGACAGGGTGTGATGCAGTCTTTGTTTTAGACTTTTCAACATCTCCGACGATACGCAAAAGAAGGAAGCTTCACGGGATTACCCTATCGTTCCTGTCCCAACTGAACTTGAACTTGATGGTTGCGTAGTGACGCCAAGGTTTATTCTGTTTGAGCCAAGAATGACTGTAGTTGCGAACAACTCTGGGAAAGTTGAATCAATTGGAACCGCGAACCAAAATTTTCCGCCGTTGCGCGGTACACCATGTGCGTTGGTATGAATGTACAAATGCTGGTGCTCAGCGTTTTCGGTATAAAAAACAGATTAGAAATGATGGGATATTACTATTTTGTTATAGAAATCAGTTTAGCAGATAAGTAAGTAACCTCAGCACAATGATGATAGACTGAAAACAACGTGAAAGAAATCCCAGATTATAAATACGTTACTTCATTTACATACCGTCAAACACAATGCAACGCAGTAGTAGCCACATGTATCCTCAATAAAGGCTATGCAAATTTATTAATTCATCATACCCCTGGAAACTTGAAGCGATGTGCAACTGGTAACCCTTCAAATCAGCCTCGGGTTCCACCAAAACATGTTATATGTGTGTTTTGGAACATTTGCCTACAATTAATGCCTTGTTTGTTTATGCGATACTATTTTATTCTTATTCGTAGAGAGAACCCTAAAGTACACCCCCAAATTTCAATCAGGATTTTCCTAATAATCCGACGCTCTCAACATCTCAGTACGCGCATGTGGTTTGTCATAAGCAATGCCGATGCCTGGGGGCAATTAGAACTAAATAACGTACCTTAGAAGGTTAACCATAAAAAATAAAATAACTGAAAATACGCTATACGCAGAGCCTTTTCACGGCTGACCCCAGCAGTCTTCAGACTACTGTTTGCTTCGCATGTGCGCCCAGTTCTCGAGTACGGATTGCTCGCTGCATATCCTCTCGCAAAATCTGAACGTTACATGATCCAGAAGGTTCAATAGCGTGGATCCAAATCCGTTCCAGAGTTGCGGGACTTATTTTACCCCCCTACGGCTTCAACGGTTGAACCTGTTCCCTTTGCATTATCGTCGTTGCCGCGAAGATATGATATTCACTCGGCGTATTCTACGAGGTGAGCTAGGGAATGAGCTGCAATCGTTTTTTCGTCTCAACACAAGGTATGCAGCTCACGGCCACCGGTGGAAACTTTTCAAACCGTGACGACTCCGTGTGCGGTCCGATCTGGCCCTATCCACCCGGGTAGTGAATGACTGGAACAGCTTGCCGGAGGCTGTCGTCGATGCGGAGAGTGAGGAATGTTCCAAACGACTGTTGGATACCTACTCTCTGAGTGCGCAGGGATTCTGCTGTCCACAATGCAACCATAGCGATCTTCCGCGGAACCTTGTTCCGCACTGATCCCAGCAACCCTCGTAACGTTCGTGAAGTAACGGAGCTGACAAAGGATCTTCCTTCTGCTCTACCAACCAATGAACCAACTATCAGTAATTTGCTGACTTTATCTAACATCAAAACGTTATAAACTTATTTCCTAACTCCTGCCTTCTAAAAGTGTACAGGAATATACACGTGCGCTCTCTTTTTAGGTGTGTAAAGCCGGGGAATTCGAATTAGCTGCTTGAGTAAAGAACAATTCGACCAACGTTACTTACGTCGACGTATTGTTAGACCGTCGGTCTCAATTATGACCGAAGATGCCAGATTTTTAAAAAGGTTAAGTTAAAGCATCTGGTTTACGTTTCTATTTGCAGAAAGATTCGAGGCGGGTCAGTAGACGTTCATCCAACTGAAAAGGCCTTAATTGTGCATTATGAAACGGAGGCGACAATTATTGGCGAACATGGCAACCCCGTGATTGGCGACCGCAGAGAAGGCCAAAAAATGTAGCTTGTATCAACGTGGATATTAACGTGCTAGAATTCGTGTCAGAAACCTAAATCATAAAACAGACCTAAAGGAACTTGCTTTGAAAATTGTTGACAGCTGCGAACTTATCGCCAAGTCGAAGCTGTCGCATATTGAGCACTTACTGCGGTACCTATTGAATCGCAAGGAACCAACCAGCCCAAAAAGTGAGGTCCATTGTTTTTCTGTCTTTGAATGTATCGTGGTTGACGTAAGCTAAGGATATTGCAGTCGTTCACGTTTGCCTTTGTACGCGGTCGTCATCCCTCATATCGCAGTTCGATGGCCATGGTTGTTATTTCTTGACATGTTTTCGATCATTCTTATACATTTAGACAACGAAAACATTTTTCATGGCAGCTCTAGACATGACAGAGTGTCTTATAATGTTTACTCAGCGCTACAGGTCTCAGTAAGTAGACAGTCACTTTTTACTAAAGTACTGCATTCTGTCTGTGCTATTGCCTAACAGGCAACCTCCTAGTGACTGACTTGTGAGCTCCGGCAATCCATCTTAGATACATTGTGGCTACTAATCAGTCTAACAAAGTAATTTTGGACGCAGCCTTTACGTACACCTGTGTGCATTTTTCGTACACTATGGTGACTTTTAGAGCATGTGGAGCGGAACTACGCTACTGGTTGCGACGAGAACCAGTAGGAACCCATACGGATAACAATTATTCCGAAGTGAGTACGTAGCCGGGCCCAGCGTGTATTGTAAAGAGCTGCAATAAGCTAGAAGCAAATTAGCAAAAGCAAAGAGTCAGGTAGCGTGCGAATCACACAGAGTTCGAAAGTGAACCGGACGAGCAGTCGGTAAAAGTAATGATCGGAGGATACAAATAATAAAATCCAAGGTCACAAAGTACTGAAGGCGGAATTGTTCCATGTTTACTACAGAGGTCTCCCTCTAGAACGCTAAATGAGTTAAACCTTTGATTGAGCTGTCAGGTGGAGGGACAAAGTGGTTGTGTGCTGTGTTGGGGAAAGCAAACTTACGTTCGTTTCCACTAAGGAAGTCAGTCAGGGGTTGCATGAGTTGAGCGCAGCGGGGGATTAAGCGTCGATACTAGTTGATTGGACCACAAAATCAACGTAGGTGCTTAACTGCAGTCAGGGCTGGGCAGTGTTTGATGGGTTGGACCTTGTTCGAATGGACCTCGGTGCCGACTAGTGAGACGAGATGTCTAAGCATTCTACCGAGGACTTGCCTAGTTCACACTTAGTCGGGTTGTCGATGACGCCGTGTTGGCTCAACTGCTGGAAGAGACTGAAAATGAGCCAGATGCTCTTCGTCGGACGAACTGGCCAATCGTATGTCATCGAGGTAGGGGTACGCGAAATCTAGGCAACAGTTGCCACTGTAGATGAAGCGCTAAAAGGTCTGCGCGGTTTTGCACCGTTTAAAGGCATTCGTAAAAATTCGAAGAAGCCGAAGGGAGTGGTGATGGCTGTTTTAGGTATGCCAGCTTTCTCAACAAGTATCTGATGATAGGCATAAACAAGAGTGATCTTGCCAAAGACCGTCTTGCCTGTCAGGCATACAGTAAGGTCTTGCCCGTGTGGGATAGGGTACTTATAGGGGATCGTAAGCTTATTTGGTGCCCGGTACCCGCCGCAAGGACTCCAGTCTGTAGATTACTTTGGGACCATCTGGAGTAGAGAGGACAGGGGACTATTTGAAGGACGGGTTATTCCAAGTTCAAGTATGTGCTCATACCCCATCCTAACTAACTTGACCTTCTCCGGCGAAAGACAGCGCGGGTGTGATCAGGCGGACGAGCCTTTAGTTCGAATATGGTGCGTGTCTTGAGATGCCACGGGCAGAGCTGCGTTTATTGGCTGAACGACCTTAGGGTAGTGAGAGAAAAGTTTGGCGCAGTCGGGACAGGTATATGGGCGAACCTAGACTTGGGTGCTGGCTTAGATGCCGGTGTTGATGTCAGTGACGCTGACTATCATTGCAGGGTTGACTATCCTCTGTTGTTTCGCATCGACCATGAGGACAAAATGTCTAAGGAAGTCTATACCAATGATGTCAAACGGAACGTTGGCAATAATGAACACCCAGCGAAATGTTCTACGGAGGCACAAGTTGAGAGTTAAAGAGCGTTGACCGTAATTAGAGATAGGTGTGCCGTTGACGGCCCGAATTCTGAGAGTAGACGGCCGAGTCACCTCCCTAGGTGCGCGCGGAACCACGCTTACTTCAATCCCGGTATCAACCAGGTACGCGGTTCTAGGTTTGCATTCTTGAACGTAAGGGAGGCTACTGCCGGAGACGTGGTCGGTGACGTTATTGGTAAGTGATTTGGGGCTTGTAAGGTTCCCCGACTGAGTCGAGGGGAAGATACAAGACGTAGTACATCGCTTCGCCTGAGGGCCAAAACTGCTTTGATACCAGCATAGTTTATTACGTGTTAGGCTGCTGGATTTGACCAACTTGCTCTTAGTTACCGGCGAGTTGTCGTGTGCTGAAGGGGAATCGAGAGCGCTATGTAATTCTACTAGTTCGTTAAGTACCAGGGCAAGCTCAGATGGAGGGGCTGCGTGACATTTGCATGAAATATATGGCTGTTGAGACACGTTATGACTTTTCGGCGGATGTATAGCGGGTGACATTACTTAATCTACTTCCTTATGAAGATGATCTATGATCGCGTCAGCCACTTGCTCGGCCAGAGTGAGGGAAGAGACCTCGGGAGGTATGACGATAGCTTAAGCTACCTCGAGTAGGTGCTGAAACAAAATCTAGAAGAATGAAGTCCTCCATTGTGTACGAGCCGAAGAGTTTTTTTTACCTCACTCAGTAGGTCGGATAGTCTCGCGTTTCCCAGATGCAAGCCATGGAATAGCTGTTTGACTAGCCTACTCGCCGGTTGCTTAAGTTGGGTCACGATTTTCTGCTTAAGAGACTCATAAGGGAGATAAGTATTTTGGCCGGAAAGTATGTCCTTCAGCTATAAACCAAAGTCCCGAGCAAGGCTACCTAGAATAAGACTATATTTAGATTAGTCAGAAATAATTTTATGACACAAAAACGCACACTAACAAAACAAACAAAGAAGAGTCACCAAATAGGATAGGGATGGCAGACAGCGGTGCGACACTAATAGATGAGCCGAAAATGTTTGTAGCTGAGTGAGCCATAGCATATCACTAAATAATAGTTGCAGAAGCGCACTTCACAAAAGAAAAGGAACGAGAACACCAGAAATGATTTCAGCGATGACTGAACCGTGCTCGCAGTCGGTGTCACCAATTGTGAAGCGGAATTCAGATACTGGTTACGACGAGAACCATTAGGAACCAATACGGATAAAACTTATTCGGAAATGAATACGCATTCGGGTCCGATGTGTATTGTAAGGCGCTGCAAGGAATTAGAAGCGAATTAGCGAGAACACAGAGTAGGATAACATACGAATTACAGAGAGTTCGAAAGTGAACAAGCCGATCCGTCAGTAAAAATAATGGACGATCGGAAGATACAAACAATAATAAAATCCGATGTCACAAAATACTGAAAGCGTAAGTGCTTCCTGTTCACTACAAGCACTAGCGTTACAGTGTTTTGTTCCGTTGGCCTTGTAGTAGGACACAATTGGAACTGGTTTTATCACTCGGTAAACATTTTACAGTTAGTTTTTAATTCGTACTGGAAATGCACACACACGCACACACTATATACGTTAGCTAGAGGTGGGGAACACCTCAGCTACTGTGCCGCAATAAACAAAAGAAAAAAAAGAAAAAATGCACCAGATGCAAGCCAGCTGAGCTACCGGTAACGGATGGGCATCGTTCCGGTAAGCTCCCTGCCGGCTACTATGCAGCAGAAAATAAGAACTTCCTATGCAAAATTGTAAAATGCTAAATAATGAGATCGTGGTTGGAGGGGAGGCTAAGAGGGATGGGGTGGGACAAAGAAACTCACAGCACAAACGCCACTGAGGTCGGCTCTTAGCCATATCAACAAGTGTATTCAGCCAAACGTGTACATCGTCTTTCGGACCCAAACCAGGTAGGCCAGACGCTCCAACTGAGGCCAACTCCGAAATGAGGGCCTTCATTCCTCTCGACAAAGTCTTCGCTTGGCTACTTCTCCTCTTCCATCCACATCCCCGGTGAGCAAACAACGCACGTCGCGGAAGTCGGTGGGCTGGCATGCGCAACACATGGCCGAGCCCTCTGAGCGTGGTACGTGAAATGACGTGGCTGAGCGGTTCAGTTCCTTTTCCTGTAACGTAAACAAGGCGTCGAACACGCTCTTGGCTCACGCGGTGTTCCCACCAGATGTGAGCTAAATTGCGAAGGCACCGGTGGTCGAACGTAACTAACCTCTTTATGTCCGCTAATATAAGGGGCCAGGTTTCGCAACCGTACAGTAGGGTCGAACGTACCACTGCATTGCACACTCTACCCTTCAGGGCTAGATTGATGTCGTGCCGGCGCCATAAGTGGCGAAGGCTAGCAAAAGCGCCTCGAGCTTTTGATATACGGTTCGTGATCTCATCTTCAATCTCAAGGGCGCTGATACAACTTCCCAGGTAGTTGAATTTTTGAACGACTTCTAGCTGATCCTCACCAACGGTCAGCGAAGGAGGCGGTCCAGGTCAATCTTGGAGGAACGTTTTGCACTTCGATGGTGCAAAGCAAAGCCCGAAGTGTCGGACAGCCAGTGGTAATCTATCCAGTGCCGCTTTACACGTCTGGGATCTGTCACAGATTAGGGCAATATCGTCAGCATACTCTAAGTCAAGAAATCGTTCTCCTGGGAGCAGATCCACACCTAAGTCGTGTCCTGTGAACACAATTTCCATGACTTCGTCAACGGCCAAGTTAAAGAGGAAAGGTGACAGCGGGCATCCTTGTCTTACACCGCTGGAGATATTAAAGGGCGACGACAGCTTGCTGTAAACCCTCACTCTGCTTGAGCTACGCACGTATAATCATCGGATAATATTTACATATTTCTCAGGTACACCTTTCCTAAGTAGACAGTCTCCAAGTGCACGTCTATCCACCGAATCGAATGCACCTTTGATTTCGAGGAACACGACAACGGTGAGCCGCCAATATATGTGACGATGTTTTAACAACTCACGCAGAGTGAAGATGTGGTCAATACAGCCACGACGTCGACGAAATCCGGCTTGCTATT